GTATGGCTGCTAAATTTCTAGATCAATGTATACTAACTTGCAAATGCCAGTCAAACAATTATGAAGAATGGGAAATTTCTGTGTCTTCATTCCAGTTTACCAAAGGGCAAAGCCCTTTGACCAAAAAGCTTCCTGCCACCAATTGTTTTCTCCACCTTCTTATAGAACAATGTTAGATGGGAGTAGCCCACACACTATGTATGCTAAGCCTTGGGGAGTGTTTTCTGATGTTTCCATTATTCTCTGGTGAGGCTTATGTTGATGTCTCCCTGTGCTATCCATCTCTGCACCATGAGTTTGTGAATGGTGCAGAATGAGATTTCTCATCTCTATTTTGGATGGCAATGTCCATGTTTCAGTACAGGACAATATGCATGATGTTCCTCTTCCAAGCTCCCCTCAAATATCACCTCTCTATGATTCACTAGAACTAGGGTTCAATATCTAGCTACCCTATATATTTTTTTAAAAATTGCATAAATTGTCCGTATTTAGAATTTGTAGGTAAAAAAAAAATTTGACATACTTTAGGGCTAGCAAAACTGGAGGCAAAGGACATTATCATTGTCATTGTGCCTCTTACAAAATGATTTTTGACAGGCATTGCCATTCATGCAAAGACACATTGCCAATTCTAGGAATAATAAATCTATTATTTGAAGTTATAACTTCTCAGAGGGGAACAAAATGACATACTCCATGCTGAACTGAATATCAGGGCTGGGGAAAAGGAAGTTTAAGCTTCAATCCAGAAAGCTTACAGCCTTTTTAATCTCTGGGTTCCAATGGAGGGGTTGGGTTCTAAGACATGAAGTTCCAATGTCGCCATCTCAGGCCCACCTCATGAGGACCTTCGAAACGCACAATTTTCACAGCAAAAGGAAAAAGCAATGAGTAGCTGCTTCAGAAACCACAATTTTTCTATGTGAGTTAAATTTCCTACTTCAGTTTCACAGAACTACACACTAGTGACTAATGGCCAGGTCTAATTTCCATCCCCTTCACTCTCTGAAAAATCACAGCGTACAGATTGCCATTTCATGTTTGACGACCCCAGAGCGGGGATGGGAGGAGTCCGTGGTAGACGCTGGCTCTCCTAGAACTGTTTTTGCAAAAACACCACATGCTGTCAATACAGCCAAACAGCTTTGTAACTGCAGCTTTTGAAAATTTGGAAAGGAAAAACACAAAATATGCAACACGTCTAAGATTAGTAACATTTTCACTTTTTTGTGACATTTGACAAAATACAGCTTTGCTTGTAGTTCAGGAAAATTCTATGCAGACAAAACAGTGGAAACTACAGAAACAGTGGCCAGTCAAGTTGTGGCTAAAGCATCAGTTTTCAAATACAGCGCTAGGGTGACTAACACCAAAGGGCTAATAAAATTTTGTCACTATCTGTAGGTCAGTATTTTATGCTCCCGTTTGTCTTTTCTAGGACAGGCAACAGGAGATACTAAGGATTCAAAGCTTTCAATGTTTCATGAAGAAACTTAACAAAAATGGGCTCCACCATGGGCCAGTGAGACATGCTTCTCTCAGCTCCTCCTTGGTTCCTGCATTCTCTGCAAAGCTGGGACCAAACCTCTGAGAGAGTTTGATCCTCACCACATCTGATAAGCTATTCAGCAAATCTACAGAGGGCACAGGGACTAAGAAATTGAAGAGAGTATGATCAAAAGGGGGGGTGTGTATCAAAAGCTCTTGCAACAGGATGAAATTCAGAGATAAGTTTACAGGAAGTTTGGCAAGGGAAGAAAACAATCTAAAACTAACTGTCGTTTTAATATTCTATCTTTGAGTCTCAATCCTGAAGTTGAGAATGGTCATCACACAAAAATGCAGTAAATCTGGAATTTTTAATCCAAAAAGAACCCTGTTTCAGCGATCTGACTTAATATTCCCTCTTACAGCCAACGGAAAATAAAATATAGGGACCATGACAAGGGATAGCACCTCCGCAGTGGAAGATAAAAATAATAAAAGAGGAAAGTACCCTTCTTTAAAGAGAACTGTGTCAATCCCTTTCATCTTTTACAAAAAGGCCAATAAAATTTTTGTGGGAGTACATTTGAGTTTTATGAGACTTTCTGCACTGGTAAACGAAGTTTGCATTTAAATCCATAGAGCGAGCTTCCTTTTGGCTTAAAGGATTTTAATGTAAACCCATAAGACTGTACAAGCCATGTTGTAAAGATTGTAAATTAACTTTATGATGCTTCTGTCTTGGCAAGCTGTGAAGTGAGCCATTTTGGTGGCATAATTTTAAGTCATGGTAAAGCACAACTATTTGACTTAATGTCAAAACCTTTCAGTGCTTAAAGATATTTAAGTGGAATATTTTGTAAAAGTTCTAAGTGACCTGCCAAGTATTATAAGTTACTTTTTTCACTAGGACAATAAGACATCCAAATTAAGTGCTTGTAATGACCAGTAGGATTCTTCCAGAAGATATTGTGTGCTAACAGAAACATCGCAATACTACAAATTTTAGGTCTCCATACATAAACACAAATTTAACTGTAAGCTAAATCTTGGATCTTCAATCTTTGCTCCCACCTTGGTCTCACTTTGGTCTGTAATTCTCACAAACATGGGTTCTCTTTGAGATTTTATTATTAAGCACTGCAGTCTTGCCATGCAACGACCACAGAAGTTCATACATTTTATAAGAGAAATGTAAAAAAAAAATACAAAGATAAATTTGCTTGAATGTTAGGCTGAAATCTGATTTCAGATTTCAAAAATAAATAATAAATCGTGGAGGAAGATTCCATATATTCAGAGATTGACAGTAATTTCACCTCATCTTAAAACAATCTTTTAGTGGATTTAATGGGAAATTATTGAAATTTTCCATTTTTAAGATATAAAATATCTAAACAGGACCTTTTTGGATTCAATTGTAAGGGAAGAGAAAAAGGATAGCATGAAAAAACCTCTAAAATAGATATCAAGATAAATTCAATAGGTTTTGTGTAAGTTATTTCTCAACAGACACCTGCATACCACAGCACCAATCAACTCTAACTTATTACAAGTGATTATCTATCTACTTCCAGCTCTTCCAAAGAATTACATCAGCTATGTCAAATGATTTAAATTTTTACTCTGTTGTCCCCTAAAAGGAATAAATGAAATACCTAGCAAAAGGGTGTTTTCCTAATCTGGACATGGTATTTTGAAAATGATGAACAGTTCTAAGACAAGGAGTAGTTCTATATAATAAGCCTTTGGTTCCTGAGTAAAGCAAAATGCTTTTGAATTACCTGTGGTAAAACCTTTCGTCCATTCCTGGAACCTTTTATTCCATACATTAGTTATACAAAATGGCAAGCACATTCTAGAATTCTTCACTGTCTTATCCTTGGTATCATAAATTCAACCAATCTTTAAGTCCTTTTTTCCACTTGGGAGGGGATTCCTAATTTTCAGCAGAGATCTACAAAAATGTTTTTAAAAAATTGATGGGTTCTCTACTGCCCAATAACATCTAAATCCTCCAAGCTCTGACTACTTTTATTTCTTTCAAATGTAGCCAATCTCTTAAGCAGCAGACAAGTCATTTGGTGGTCAAGTAGGACCTTGACCTTAGCTGTCTGCAATCAGGACAACCAATGAAACCACCCACCAGGAGACAAATAGGAGTCTATCTGCTTATCTAGTCTTCAAGGACAACTTGTCAAAAGTGATTCAATAGGCTAAGAAGAGGGAGTATAGTCTTAGGCTCAAAGTCACAAATGAATCTGTGGATTTCAGTTCTCCATAATATATGTGCCTCTTGCTTTGACCAAAAGTAGCATGAAGTAGAATGGTATGGTTGGTTGGTGTGACGAAGTAGAACTGAAAGCTTGCTGAACAATGCATATGGTTTTTGGGACATGGTGACAAAGTTATCACTCAGGTCTACTTACTCACATGTCATTTAGAGCAAGGACCATGTAACAATTCCCCTAAAACACAAAAAGAGGATGACCTGTAGCCCCTATGACGAAATTTGGTGATGACATAGTATGAAAAGTTTAGACAACTTAAAGAACCCAGATTGAAAAGTGCAATAAATGTGTTAATTCCATTGGAACAGAAATGCTGGAGAACTGAACAGCCACTTCCTGCCAGTACTATAGCATTTTGGAACTCAATATGTTGCCTATATTTCCCTGGATCTAGCTTGACCTGTCTAATACAGTGTATTCTATCAGTGGTGTGAAAATTGGGTGGCTTAACTGGGAATAGAGATGGCTCTGCTTCTGTTGAGTTAGAAGAAACAAATTTCCATAAAGAAACCTGGAAGCTATGCTCCTTGAAAACTACATAATTGGGGGGAAAAAGAGTATGGGGGAATATCCACGGGGGGAAAAAAAATGAAGGCAGGGAAATCTACAAGAGTTAGTTGGTGGCCTATCTTACCTCTTGATTTCATCTTTAGGACATGTCTAGAAGTGACAAAGTGATGCTGGTGTGGTACACTTGGACCTATATTCTACATGCTTTGACTGACATGACTGAAGTCAAATAGGTGGCCAACCACGTTTCGTTGCTGAAAGCTAGTTTGACAAGTGCTTTCCGACATCACAGATGTCAGCTGGTAGACAACGCTGACAATCTGGTAGCAGAACAAGCTAGCCCTTTGGGGCACTTCTTTAAAAACCTGTTTCACAATATGCACTTGATCGGTCTCTGGCTTTCAGCCTTATTGAGTTCATGTTTATTTTGTTTCTATTCTTTTTTCACATGGCTAATTCCATGTAGGTATGTCGTCACTTTTATCCTTGCCACACCAAACCCAAGGAGTGCACCTAGTGTTAACCCAAGTGTGGATTCAGAAGGGACTGAAGAGCCCTCCGTAAGTCAAAGCAAGCTTGTACCTTTCCTTGCCTAGTAACATGTTCTTTCTACTGCAAATTCACTTTCTTCAATCAGAGAATCTCACTGATTGTAAAGGAAGCCTGAATTATCCAGCCACTGGGCAAGAAACGGCCTCACTTTTCTTGTGTAAGCAAAGGTCCCAAAGCTGGCCTGTAGTCTGTGTCAGGAGAGGAGGTGGACTAGAGTCCATTTTGCCTGCTGTAGTTGAAGTCGGCTTCATCAAGCTGGGATTCTGCCATGTTAGAGAGTTTCGTGTGTGTCCTTCCAATTTCTTCGAGAGCACAGGCCAGGGAGTCGAGGTCACCATCGTGTTGATGACGCGCTTCCCACAGGTTCAAAATGACAGCAGATGGGCTACTCTGTGTAGCAAAATAAGACAAATTCCTAGAGGAAGGTAAACAGGAAACAAAAAGGAAAACAAGTAAAAATCACCATAAGGAAATGAACATGGAATGTCAGTAGATATTGTTAGTGTAAAACAAAGACTTGCTACACAGAACTGGGTTTGCATCCCAGTTCTCAGTTGAAACTTAGGAGTGTTATCAATGGTCTTATCACCTGCATTATTTCTTGGTACTTTCCTCCCTTGGGCTCCTGGTATGTATGTTTGGCATTTACATGTAGGCTCATGTTTCCTCCTCAATCATCCCCCTTGAAATGCCCAATCTCCATTAGTTCATGTGATAGTGTAACTCACTGCTAGTTTTTTTTTTTTTTTCAAAATATCTGGCTCCTCTCTCTTCTGGTAAATAACAGGGTTATCAATGTTTGAGCTCCAAATTCTTAATCTTTTAATCCTTCCTCAGGGGCTGATATACTCGTTGAAGTTGCTATGAATGACAGTGTCCAGCTACTGGACAGTGTTCAAACCACCTCAGCTTTGCCCCTTCTTTTTGTTTATACTACTTGTATTCTATTAGCTTATGACTTGAATCATAACAAAAGCCCCAGAGTTCTACCAGACCTTGTCTCCAAAGTGCACTTTCTTTCTCACTTTCTTTCCTCAATCATAACACAGCTATTTTGTTTGCAATACTTTCCTTGGTCTAGCCTAAATTTGGTTCTGGCTGGCTGACAGGCTATCTTTCTATGTCATTGTAACTTCTGCAGTATTGAACTTTTGGGACTTAAGGGAGTAGTAACAGCCCAGACAAGAAAAGGTATATCCATATACAAAGTTAACATACATGGCATAGTTAGTGCTCAATTTGTGTCTTCTACATATAGTACATCTATGTATAGCATCATGAAACAAAATGAGCAAACCTCAAATTAGGCAATACTTCTTGCTTTGACTCTATCTGCTTAGTAGGAATTCGCACTTTCTCCATTTACCCTGCTTACAAAGCTTGCTTTTCTGCATTGGGGCTCAATTCTCATCTCTTCCTTCCTCAAAATGCTTTATATTCTTCACTTTTTTTTGGTGATTGTGCTTAAAATTTCCTGTACATAAAAATGTGTTTGTGACAACAGCTCAAAAAGCTCATGGAAAAAGATTACAAGTAATCATCTGGAAGAGAAAATTTTGGCATCCTTATATGGATTTTTCATAATAGGCATTTTCTATGAACTTTTTGAAACATCCCATATGCATGAAGTTAAATGATTTTTGCATCTAAAGTATTAGTTCCACTTTCAATTAACTTTTTAAAGTAGCGTCATGTATTGGGTATATGTGTGTAGAAGCGTTTCCTTCCCATTTTGACTACTTGAAGAGCAATGATCATATCTACAAAGGTTATGAATATGTTACAGCACTTATTCATAATACTACGGCAGGTGTTTGCTCAGTAACCATTAGCTGAGTAATTGAGTCCTTTGTACAGGCCTTTTTCAGGTGATGGGATATCTTTAGTGAAAACAAGGGTAACCTTTTAGACAATAATCCCATTATGATGAAGACTAAGACAACACAAAGGATTAAAGGTCACTGTGACTCACTGTGACTTTTTCAGTAAGGATAGAAAGGTTATCTCTGGTAATATTCTGATGAGATAAGATTTTCTGGAGTCAGTCAAGAGTTTCCTATTTTGAAAATGGTGCCAGTCAACCTGCTGCCTACTTGGGTTCCACATCTATGGAACTGATTCAGAGCATTTGGGGAATTAAAAAAAAGAGTGTATGAATGTGCACAGTGCTTTTCTTGCCATTATTCCTTAAATTATACATTATGACAATTATCCACATTGTATTAAGTACCTTAAAGTAGCCTGGAGATGATTTACAGTGAGGATCATGTATGTAGGTATACTGCAAAGACTTTATCATTTTATATGAGGGACATGTGCATTTGTGAATTTTGATGAGCTGGGGAGGTGGGTCCTGGAATCCGTTCCCATGGATAACAGGGAATGGTCCTTTCTGAAGCAGATTTGCATAAAGGAGAGGAAAGCGTTTGGAGAAGACAAGCTTTTAAGGGCACATTACCATTTACAAGTCCCATTCCTACCCGGCACCAAGTAATTCTCTGTGAATAAAGTGTTATTTTATTCTAAAGTCCTAAGAGACTGCTCATGGCCAGTTGGTTGCTAATGATTCATAGCATACATTTTGGAATACCACATGCACTAGTACTTTTTCTATATGTGAAATTTTAGACAGGAAAACCCAGCTTAAAAATGTTCTCTGGTTTTATTATTTTATTCTTCTAGATTTTTGTTTTCCTTCACTTTAGTTTTTCTGAGCCTGTCCCCTACTCTTGGTTAATCACTATTTATATCTGTACTAACAGAAATGGCAGAGAAAATCCTATTTAAATAGCTTATGGGATGCTGGTTGTTCTTATTTAAGAACTTTGAATGACTGGCACTTCTTCCTGGTTGAGTGGACGCATTTGCAGACAACAGGGCTCCAGCTCCCTATAGACGCCCTGGCTGACATTCAGGTGGCACACCCCTGAAGTCATAACTTAGAAGGCAAAATAGAGAGGCTGTGTATGAATGGACTGGGAGCAGTCTGTGGCCATCTCACTTAAGGTCTATCATGAGAATCGCTTTGCTTCTGGCATGTGTAACTAAGCCTTCATGATCTCTATTGCTCTTGGAAAATAATGTAATAATAAAAGCAGAATTTTCTCATAATTATATTGAGGATTTATCTTTTGTAGTGAACAACAACTTCTGGCTTTGTTGCCTACAGAGGGACTCCACTGGAGCAACTCCAATCCACCACCAAGGTATAAAAGCTGCCATAGATGGTATGAATATGGCTATGTTCTAGAAAAATTGACACTGATGGAACTGCCAGTTTTCACACGTCACAATATTATTCTTTACTTGATTTTTTTTCTGATCATTTAAAATTTTAATAACTTCCTAAATTGTTGGCTATGAAACATAAAGGGGACTGATTTGGCATGCAGGCCACTGTGCTAACCCAATCTAGATGTCCATCGGTAACACGTATTTTTAGGAAAATCTTACTGAACTTCTGGCTTTGTGCTTATATTTGGAACTTGGTAGTCCATAGCTGGAAAGAAGGTCTGGGCACTGAAGTACAATAACAAAGCTACAAGTGAATTCCAAATAATACAGTTTGAATATAGTGATGACTCTCTCTGAATACAGTATTAAAAATATTCATGAAACCTTGAGGAAGAGGACATGAGCTACAGAACGACTCCTTCTACGCGACTGATTCTGAAAAAATCCTGCAAATGGAATTGCTGTCCATGGCTAAAGAAAGGTAGGTGATTGAAAGCCAAGGATATACTTCCTGCTTGTCCCAGGCTTTGGAACACATTGTAGTGAGGAGAACATGCGCTCTGCAAAGCAAAACTTTAAAAATGGAAACTCAGAATAACACGTCCCAATTTCAGATTTGTGAATACACAGCAGCCTTATTAAAAATGATGCACTCAGCTTTATGGTCAATAAACAACCCATGAGAATGATTTAAAAAGTCTGCCAACATCCCATATCTGGTTAGCGTATGGCTGATCCACTTCTGATCCAACTCACTGTTAATAACCTGGGGAAAGCATCAAAAGATTGCACAAGTGTTTGGGCAACTAACACCCATATGTGGGAGCCTTTGTCTGGCTCAGTGTTGACTGTTTTGGTTATCAGTGGAGTGAACCAGCAGATGGAAGATCCACCCCTCATATTTCTCTATAACTCCTTCCACATAAATAAATCATTAAAGACAAAAGATAATTGGGTATAAAGAAATTCTGATATCATGCTTACATGTATTATCAACAACTATGCATGGAATTCACTTCATTTTTTTACCCAAATGAATTTTGTAAAGATTTATTTATTTATCTGAAAGACTTGGGGGAGAGGGAGAGAAAAAGAGAGAGAGATTGATTGAGAGATTGAGAATCTGCCATCCTCTGGTTCATTTTCCATATGACCACAATGTTTGTGGCTGGGCCAAACAGAATCCAGAACCAAGAGCTTCTTCCAGGTCCCCCACATTGGTAGCAGGGGCCCAAGTGCTCAGGTTACTTTCACTGCTATTCTCATGTCATCAGCAGGGAGCTGCACTGCAAGTAAAACATTCAGTACTCAATTCAGGATCCATATAGGATGCTGGTATCATAGGCAGAGGTTTCACACACGATGCCAAGACCTTGAAAGCTTTTTGAAGTATCCTTATACTAACTGCATTTACACAGCTAGGACAGGATTATATAAAATATCCTACAATTGTAATAGGCTGTATATTAAAGTTAGCTGAATTCTATTCCTATATAACTACATGGAATTGAAACTGACCCCCAGATGAAGCTGTGGATGTAGATGCTAGATAACAGGCCCAGGTCTCCCAGCCACCCTGGCTTAGCTTAACTTCACTGAACTGAAGGAGTGGTTTATCTGGTTGTGTGAGAGTTCCATCACTGGACCTGGACTTGTGAGGTCATTTGTTTCCTCAATAGATTGCACCATGGCTGCCAATATTGTTTTACTGGATTTCATTTAAGGAAATTCTTGGTCCAGGGAAGAAAGTACGAAAGCCCACTTGGCTATCATAAATGATCGTAAGCTGGAAGTGGAACCAAGCCAGAAAGCCACTGTGATCTAAACAGCTCCTCACTGTCTGGCGGGGGGCCAATCTGTAGCTGGCCCTGTATGTTTTTGTTATTCCTGCCTCAACCTTCCTTGTCGCCTCCTGATAACCCCAAAGTACCCTCATGTAGAAGGGCCAGAGGTTTTAAGACTCTGAGGTTCTGATAATTTCTCATTTGTTAACAGATTAAACTTTCCTTTATCCTTAAACTTTTCCCTCGCTATTTTGATTTGGCTTTAGGGAGTAGATATGAGCTTTTGTTCATAAAACGCATTATGATGTTTTGCAGATTGCTTTACCATATATGCCTTTTGTTGTCTCTACAATATCCCTTTGACTTGACTCAGATCCGTATCTATGTGACCTAGTTT